ATCTGATCTAGAAATGACAATCACAGTTTCACAGGAAACAAGAAAAACATCAAGATTCTTCGACAGAAGTTTATCAAAAAATCTGGAAAACATTCACATCTTTTAAATGGTCTGTTCTCTTTTCTAAGAAAAAGTAGTGAGTATCAGAGGAATCCCATGTAACAACACCGTAAACTGTTAATACGATAACTGTCCCCTTTTCTATCAAAGCATCAAAGGCATAGAAAAACCAACTGCGTTTTTACACGCATCAGTTTATGGAGAGTGAGATCTTAGGAAGGAAAGATCAACATCTCCTGATCTCACACCAACTCTGTCAGCTGCTGAACCTTTAACCATGGTCTGATCTCACTTCGAGCACACTCATGCCCACTAATAGGGTCCAAAGGGAGATAATAAACATCAGTACCTGATGGAATATGCTTGTTATTTTTCAACTTTGAAACAGCAAATAAAAAATAAGTATAACTGCTGTCATTAAACCTCTTCAAATAAATCTTTAAAAATGTATGAAAAACTCTTCTAAAGAAGAGCAGTCTTAATGGCTTAGTACTTATAAACTACTGGCCCATATCAAACTTGCCTTTCTTACGAAAAGCCTTGGTCTTGGTTCTGCCGGACCTGAGCGCGGCCTTTGTTAGATGGACCACGTGATTGTATTACAGAGGTCAGAGGACTGGGTGGAAATCTCTGGTACGACCTTAATTTGGTCCAAGTTGTACCCTGAAGACAGGTGATACTGTGTTTAATTGAGAACCATGTCCCAGACTGAATGGGTCTTACCTGTGGTGTTCCCCAGGTGTCAATCCTGGGGCCCCTTTCGTTCAATCTGTACATGCCTCCTTCAGGCCAACTAATACACAGTCATAATGTGTCCTACCCCAAATAGGCAGATCCCACTCAAATATATGTATCGCTGACAGCAGGAAAACACAGGCCTGTAGATTTAATGTGTCAGCTTGTGGATGCAGGACAACTTTCTCGAGGTAAACCCAGAAAAACTGAAATCATTGTCTGTCATTGCCCTCAGAAAAAAAGAGAAAGTGTCCTCAGTCACCTTCAGAGTCTCTCCTAAAACCTAAAAATCAAGTAAAAAGTTTTGGGGTAATACTAGACTCAGAGCTGAACTTCAACAGCCACATTTAATCCATAACATCAGCAGCTTTTCACCATCAAAAACATTGCCCGAATCAAAGGAAGAGTGTCTAAACCAGACATAAAAATATGAATCCATGTTTTTGTCTCTAGTACACATATGTCAAAGTCAAGGCCCGCGGGCCAGATCCAGCCCGCGAATTGGTTATCTATGGCCCCCTGGATGATATTTAATTATTATTAGAACCGGCCCGCAGGCCACAGCCGCCCGCTGGTGTTTTGCACGCACCAACACTACATTTCCCACAATGCAACGGTCGCTCGCGAAGTCACTGCAGCGCGCACATTCGTTCAGAGCAGAGATCAACTTTATGATACCCCCTCCTCAAAAATGACTAAACGTAAGGTGGACGCTGAGAACAGGGGGTTTCAGGCCAGGTGGGAGGCAGAGTACATGTTTACGGAGGTAAAAGGCAAACCTGTGTGTCTTCTGTGTGGAGAAAGTGTGGCTGTAATGAAAGAATTTAATTTAAGAAGGCACTATCAAACGTCTAAGAAACACACAGACAAAGACAAGAATATGGAATATGAACAAAAGCTACAGAAGGTGGAAGAATTAAAACGAGGACAGGCTATGTTCACATATGCTAAATCACAAAGTGAGGCTGCTGTTAAGGCTAGCTTTATTGTGGCAAAAGAAGTCGCAAAATATTATAACTTTTTTAATTTTAGTATTTGAAATCAGTGATCGGTAGATCATAGAGCAGCACAATAATACATTTTCAGTTTATAATGCATGCACTTTTATTTATGCATTTATCTTGATATTAAGAAACACATTTTTTTTTTAAAACAATTTAATTTTTTGCTGTTTGGCCGTTGAAAATGTTTTCCCTTAAAGTTACCGACAGAGCCATAACATAATATTGCCATATTCATTTAATCATTGTGAATATGTGTGAATACACTGTGTTAGGTCTTGGTTCAATAGGCTATGTGCAATCGTTTAGATATGTTTTAATAAACATTGAACCAGTCCGGCCCTCGGCTTGTAGCAAATTAGTTTTTTGGGCCCTCGGTGTGTTTGACTTTGACATCCCTGCTTTAGTAGGTTATACTACTGTAATGCCCTGCTCACTGGGCTCTAAAAGAGCTGCAGAACATCCAGAATGCTGCTGCCAGAGTTATGACCAGAACCAGGAAATATGCTCAGGTCTCAGCAGA